AATCGATTGGTTTGACAGCTACGGTGAACGTACCTCGTTTGCTCTGCAGGTAACTTTGTCACATGGGGAAAAGCAACGACAATCTGAGAACGGACACGCGTCCTGATCCAGCACAGGGCCATAGGGACACATCGATCGCGGGCACTGAACTGGACAGTTCCGAGGAGCTGAAAGAAGTTGAATAACAAAGGACATAAGCGTTGGTCTGCAATGACTATGGACATGTGGAGTGGGCCATGTATTCGACCGTCATTCTGAACCCAAAATCTGACCAATACAGTGTTTGACCCAAGTGGCACGTTGGCAGTAGTAGTACCTTATCTAGGTACATAAAGATATAATGATAGTAGCAAAAGTGAGGCTGGAGAATTGGCGATCTGGCGAATCGTGGGGTACGAGTGATGTTCCAGCGGTACGAGCGATGCGCCAGCGCTCGAACTACCAGCGGTTCGACAGAATGGGGGGAGGGGTGACGAGAGCCCTCTCATACGAACGTTGACATTCACCACGTTCCTGAGCTCACGAGAGCATGAGAACGCGAGAGGGCTCGTTGGCGGTTCACTAGCGATCCGCTGGATCCGCTAAATCTGACTGGGAACGGACCGACCTGTGAGGAGCAGATCTGGCTACATGGGACAGAGACGACGACTGGGATACTGTGGAAATACGCTCCCCGCCCACAGAACCCTATCGCTTGCTCCGTTATCGAATCATTAGTTTCCGGTTAGTTTCAAGGACACATGTAGGAATACGATACCTTCGCAAACGTTCTGACCAACAGAGATGGGTCGACGTGTTCCTGGAACTGGTCTACCGGTCTCCACATCTACACACCAACACGTCCCGGTTTTCTCACACTGGATTCGCAGAAAGAGGCCTGAATAGGTTTTACTATTTCAAATAATTAACAATAGCAGAACTGATACAATATCACTAAGCTAATGACGTTATTTCGCCCTTAACTTTATAAATGATAAGGGCTTACCAGTTTTCTGATCGCAATTGGGCTGGTGAACGTCGTGAACTCCTTGTCGTCGAAGTTCCTCAATGGCATTTCGGTACAGAACGCAGTCTGAAAAGCGAAAACACTGCTATGCCGATTTGGCTCAGAATAGTACGATTCATCGTTTGAGAGCGATGAAGGCTGAGAAATCCTCCTCCTGTATGAATGGTCACATTCTCTCTTGGCATTCTTAGGGCATAGATGGGCGTCTCAAATCAACTGAGCACTATCCCTTCTTTCGCTGTCTGGGTGATTGGAGCTGTACCAGTCTTCTGTGATTACTACCATAGCTTTCATGTGTTTCACAGAATCCCATTTCGCCGCGATTGAGTTTAGCTGACCTATCATGGGACTTAAAGGCACGGGTCGCAAAAGCATTGATACATTATCTGTCGGAGAATTCGAGAAGTGCGAAGAGAAACGTCAGAAAAAAAGCAAAAAGCAAAGCAGAAAACACGGATTTTTCGTGAGAGGTCGACCGTGATAAGGCGGAGGGACCGCTGCGATTGATAAGAATGGCAGCGGGCGCAGCGGTCGCAGCGGTCAAGCGAAAGCATTATCTCCCTTGCTGTGCAATTTCAAAGCGTGGCAGAACTACCATCCCTGCTACGTCATTTAAGGAGTGAGTTGGTCCAAGGATTGAATCTTGAACGTGCCTTCAACCGAAATCTACATGGGTCATTCAAGAAGTCATTACCCTTGTTAGGGTCAAATAAAGTGGGGAGGGAGCTGCTAGTGAAGGAAACAGCAAAAAAAAACTACAAAAAAACGCTTAAATTGAGCGCCCTTATTTGTAGGGTACAGAACCTAAGAGGCAGTATGCGCAGAGGAGAGGCAACAGACGCGGGAGCTTAAAGAATGCGCTAGAAGGAAAAACTTCACCTAGACAGCAAGGCCGCGCCAGTCAAGGCTGACAATGCACTGACGCCTCTGTAGCGCACTTTTCGGCCTTAGAACGGCAGATCTTCTGCGCTTGCACTGGTCTGTGCTGCACACGAAAGGAACAGATCCACCCAGTTCCATTGTGAAGCTTGTCTTCAGTCATCAGGATCATATCAGATCATATAGAATAACACTTACTTGATTTTGCTTTGACATGAGCAGGTATCTCAGTGGTTTGAGGTACCTGGCAGCAGATGCCGACGTCCTCACCAACACCCGTCACACAGTCGCCACGAGGGCAGCCATCGCTGCGACACGAGAATGCGTTCCCGTAGAGGTCTCTGGCCATGTGATTCGAATCACATGGTGATGTAATACCTTAAAAAGGTTCATGGGCAACAAATATTACAGGACGTTCGAGCCGTTTTTTGTAAGAAAGGACTCACATTTTGGTATTGCTGGACATGGATCACGATCACATTGAACTGAGACAAGAGCACAGGCTTTGTGAGACGGACAAGCAAGATCCTTAATAAAATTGTGAGGATATATGTTATCAAAGATAATGACTTCAATCCAATGAGGTTAAAAGATATTCTTTTGATACTTCCAGAAGCCAAGAGAAACCTAGGTGACGAAAATCCTAAAGTGCGTTTAGGGTTCACAAATGGTTGACGCATATGAATCGTGCACACAACGTCCTTGTTTTGGGTACTGCGTCTTGGCAAAATCTCACTCTCACAAGGAGGTATTTCAGAGTGTAGAGCCTTTTCAAACGCGTGCTCACTGCATGCTGCAGGGCTCAAGAGTGGAACTACAAGACCCGCGGTGCATTTTCGCTGAGTGGCCAGTGAAGCCCAAAAAAGTGGTAGTGTACTAAAAACAGGTTCTATTTCTTCGCATGATCAACTTCGCCTTTTAGTTTAGAGCTCCATGATGCATCTCCCAGATGTTTTGCAGCCCGCGTGCGAGTCTGCAGCATGCAAGAAACCGAGCCAAAAAAGCGCTCCAAGGCAAAGAAGGCCCACATTTTCGGACGCGGGATCGAACAGTTGAATGCCGCCACGCGACTACCGCCCTTGGCTACCACAATCTGACACCAGAAAGCAACATGCTGATTTCAAAGCAACTTACATCACATGGATTTTTGCACAAACACACTCCATTAGTTGGACATCCATTTGCATCGACTTGGATACCGTAATCGCATGAAGACTGCTCGCAGGAAACACTGCAGATCTTTGGTCCTACAACGAAACAGTTGACGCTTACCGTATAATGTGGAATAAGTGAATAGCTTTAGCTTTCCCGACAGAGGTTCATGAGGGAATTTCAAAGGCATTCATTCCAGCTTGACAGTTAGTAGACATCCCCCGACAGCTTGGGTGTAATAACCGAAACCTATTGAGCTATTAGATCCACAAATACTGAAGGTGGTATAAGCGGAAATGAAGCAGAAGCATTTAGCTGCTATTGCAGGCCGCACGAACCTTTTATATTTTCAAATATGTATTAGGTTGTCTCATAAGTAGTGTCGCTTTTTTTCAAACCAAAAATTTTCATCTAAATCCTCATGCTTTTACATCGAGTCATATACCATTCGAAAGAGAATTGTCTGCTCTACAAGATGCTATGTTCTTCTTCCACCTATGTTCCAGGGTTTTCAAATTTTAGGCCTGCGAAATGGGAGGTCCCGCCGACAAAAATTGACCAAACCGACAACTAGCTCTAACTTTATCTTCCCTTGGAGAAATCAATCAATGATGTACCCTCTACTTATGCATGACCCTCTTCTGAACATTACACTATTAGGTTTCCCAACAAGTCGCGTCATTCCATTTCCAGACCTGGTTTTTCAACCAGAACTCGACGGTCGAGCACCATTACCTGAGATCTAGGTCGAAATTTTTTTATAGCCGAGACATTGAAAAACTAGTAGAATTAAAGAACAAGTCATGACTAAGTTAGGAATGTACGCCTGGTTGATTTTCTCATCTTCTCAGGGATAATTTTTTCAAAGAAATGCGGTCACTTTCGTGGACAAAGCACCTTACTCCTAACACCTAAAATTCGAGCTAATTCCTAACAAACATCAAAACAAAACAAATGAGCGAATAAAGCAGAAGAAGTGCTCACAAAAGATACACCAGTTGATATAAAACAATAGCGTTTCAGAGGAAGAATTTCAATTTGAAAATTGCCATGGCTTATCGGTTGGCCAATTCGAAAAGAAACAGGGCAAACCTTTTTCGGCAACCTAAGGGTGGAATGTTTAGAAAGAGGTCATGAGTAAGTAGAGGGTACATCATTGATTGATTTCTCCCAGGGAAATAAAGTTAGAGCTAGTTGTCGGTTTGGTCAATTTTTGTCGGCTGGACCTCCCATTTCGCAGGCCTAAAATTTGAAAACCCTGGAACATAGGTGGAAGAGGAACATAATCTTGTAGAGCAGACAATTCTCTTTCGAATGGTATATGACTCGATGTAAAAGCATGAGGGATTTAGATGAAATTTTTTGGTTGAAAAAAAGCGACACTATTTATGAGACAACCTAATATAAGTAGATCGTGAGCAGTTACCGAGGTTTCATGGTCCCGGCTCCAATCGTTAAGCACATTTTAGACTCTTGACTACAAGCCCGCCCACGCATCCCGTGCAAACCGGAATTGGTTACCGTAATCCATACCAAAAGTGCCAACACAAAACCTGGTGGATCAGAAATGCCTTTATGTGGACGATTTTTAACGGACGCTGATTCCTTTGCTTAATCTGCGTCCGTCTCCATAACAAGGCACCCAACACCAGGCATGTAATGCTGAGATCTTGCCAACACAAGCGGTTGGCTACCCCCCCCCCTTTCTCCCCTTGGAATGCACTCACTCGCCCTGTCTCTAGTTACTACCTAGTTTCTGCCTTACCGAAAGGATTAGATGTCACATAAACTAATACAATGGTGGAACTCACGCTTGCACAAAGGGATGTCTTGATTGTTGTTCGTTCTCGTACCAACCAATTCCACACCAGAGCTGTCCACGCACCAACATTGCCTGTAATGGCAACCGTGGCCCTTTCAGTTAGGCGTGGTTTGTAACAATACATCAGCCTGGTTAGCTAACCAAAACTGGCCAAGACTGGTTAGCCAAGACCGCCGGTAGCAGACCAACCTCGTTTTGAAGTCGCATTGAATTTCCCGAAACGTTCCATCAGGTTCGCACTGTACCGGCGGCGGCAGAAGCGGCCATTCTCGAATGAATGCGTTGAGTCGGTGAAGACAAGAACTGGTGATCTTAAAGGGAGAATTACAATATAGAGCTACCGTATACCTAAAAAGTATAGAAAGTTAATGAATACAGTACCGTCGGTTCGACACATCGTGTTCCACAGCTGGCCTTACAGCATTTCGAAAATGACGGGCAGTCGGCATCAGCCAGACATTCTTCACGGCAACCCGGGTTCAGTAGCATCAACGGACACACGCCCACCATTCTGTGCTGTCGAAATCGGACCTAAATT